ATGGGGTTATATATATATATATATATATATATATATATATATATATGAACGAGATTATCTCCAAGTTTTAGGGGATAGGACCAAAATACTAGGAACTGGAAGGAGGATAAAAAATCTAGCTAGAACATTCTCAGGGTTAGAATCTCTTGAATATATATACCAGTCATAGTTCTATCTATTAACCAAAACACAAACCAATTGAATGACTAAAGAACAAGATCAGAGCGATTGAATTAGATAACTAATTTTGTCTTACAATCTATTCAATTAGATAATATATGAGGTTTTAGTTTTAACAGTTATTTTAATTCATGAACAGTATAAAAAAATTTATACAAGATGAAAAGAACTAGATTGGTGGCGTGGGCGTGAATTAATTTAAGGGCAGGTAGGTAATTTGATTGGAAGTATTAGAAAGGAAGGTGTGATAAATCCTGGGGTGGTGGGGGTCACATTCAGATTTGTTCATGAACTCCTGAGTCAGTCAATATTCAATATTCAATATTCAATATTCATTATGAATCCAAAATCTCTGTTCCCCAAATTCCCAAAAAGACCGAAGCAACCCATTCTCACTCTCAATCTCATTTTCATTGGTGAACAAGCCATGGAATCAGACCACTGTCTCTCCCACAGGAAACATCCCTCAACTTTGTCCAACACATTTAAAATCTATGATCTATCACGACAATAACAATAATAATATTTCATTTCATACACACACCACAAGTCACTTTCACTGCTTCATTCTTGCCTTCCCCATTCTTTCTCAAACACTTCTTCACTGTGACTTGCATCAATAGTTAAGCTCCGTCACTGATGGCTCCACCTGCTACATCCTATCCTCTACATGGTCTCAAACTTCCAATCACTGTGCTTTTCATCTTTTTCCTCTCCCTCCTACCTTCCAAATCTGGTAAAAAAGCACCCTCCACCACACCACACCACACCACACAACCCTCTATTTAAGTTAAAAACTGTTGATAGCTATACGCATCATTTTCATGATATCACATGGTTTTTCCTTTTTCGGCTCTTTAATGCTAAAATATAACTATTTATATATCTTTTTTCTTCTTTCTTGTGAGTGCTTGTGTCTCTTTGGTCTAGCTACCTTTATATACGCGTGTGTAGGGTACCCTTTTGAGTTTTAATGAAGCGTACTACGTTTGGCTGAGCAGGTGGATCATCACCGATGTGGGACACAAGGGAGCGTTTGGAGCAAAGTAGTAAAATAGTGATAGGGTCAAAGCCTCCTGCATGTGTGAACAAGTGCAAGAATTGTAGGCCTTGCATGGCTACTCTGGTCGTTCCGAATCACCAAAAGAGGAACAAGGGTTTCAAAGTGGCATCTCGTGGGGACGACGATACTTATTACCTCCTTTCATGGAAATGCAAATGTGGTGATAAGCTCTTTCAACCATGATTCATTTCAACATCTACTGACTAGTACTATATATCAAATAAGTTACCATTAATTTATGTATATGTACAAAAAAGAGACCAGAAAATCCAACTTTAGTTGTTGGAGCCTCCGTTTGGCAATTAATCTGTCTTCAATCTTCATGTTCAAAATTAGTGGAGGTGCTAAGTTTAACAGTCTTGTATTCATCTCTATATATCCTTCGAGATGTAATCCAATTAATTATATATTATTAATCAGTGTTGGGAGTTCATTGTTTCAATTAGTTTTATTTCGTTCCATGCCGAAATTTAACTTTTTTTGGTTAGATGGAATCTCGGCTACTTGTTTCTGAAGTCTGAACTACTAGTAATCTGCTGCTTAATTATTATACAAGAAATTATTTATTTGTCTTTTTGATGTACAACACATGAAAAGAATACAAACTGGGTAGTCTTTTTGATGTTAAATGATGTAAGTGGTAGGTGTGACTGTGGGCTCAGGCGAAGACCGATGGCGGATGCACATGCACTCGGATTCCCTGATTCGCGCACTGATGCACACCCTGTTCCTCACCCTCATAATAATTAAGTGTGGATCGTCCATGTATTTAGATTCATTTTTTCGAAATTAAAAAATAATTAAGCTTCTTCACGCAGTGAAATAATATTAATAACAGATTAACTTTTCGTCTAATTAATGATGTGTAAAAAGTTTTACATGTACCCAAAAACAAGTTTTATGCAGTAGAAACTCAATCAACACCATTAATGCATTCCAACACGAAAAGGCAAAGGTTAAAAAGAAAAATTCGGTACAACATAATGGAGGCTTCCGAAATCTTAAACAATCAAAATAGTTTAAACCGTTGATCTCGCATGAGAGATGAAATTGAATTATATATCTACATTTCTTAAACCATCTTACTATACCAAAAAGCGATTCAATATCTATACTTTTCCATCGATCAGTTCGATTATTAATTTGGAAATAAAGTTGCAATTAAAATTTTCATTTTATCTTTATCTTTATAAAACTCCATTCAACAAAAAAAAAATACAATTTTATTATAAAAAAAAAACTCAAATAAACATAATAAAGTTAATGAAATACATAAAAAATAAAGAAATTACAGACGAGTTATAAATTTTGAATCGACATAAAGTTGGAGTAGCAAAGCCGAGTTGGGCCAGAGAACGGAGCCCAATATTTGATCCATTGGGGTGGGTAGAGTTAGCCCAATAAGGCAGCATATAAGAGAAGAGTGGTATGAAAAAATGGAACATTGGTTTTGGTTAAACTTGAAATGCCTGTTGTCTCAGTAAGCACCGCAAATTCCTCCAACTTCCTTCTCTTATGCACTCTCTCTCGTTCTCCCGTTCTATCCTTCTCTCACCACCGTCCATTTCAGCCACTCACTTTTTCCTCCGCCGTCCTCCGCCTTCCACGCTGCCGCGCCGCCTCCCCCGGTCCTCCGCTCCCGCCTTCCGGAAATGACTCAAAGCACCTTAAAGGTTTCATCCTATCAACTTTTCCATGTTTAATTCCATAAGTTAGGTTTCTTTCATGTCTTGGCTTCAATTTGTTTAGGGGTTTAGTTTTGGTCCATGGAATAATTTCTCTTTTTTCAATCTCATGATAATTGTCACAGTTAGGGATACAAAGGAACTTAGCTATTCATGAATTGTTGAACCTCAACCTGTTAATTGATCAATCAAACTCTTTTTCTAGTTGAAGTTTGACTTGATTATTTAATGGAGTCAAGCTAAACCTTTTTTATTGTCTTGACAATAATAGTTCGCAATAAGGTTGTGTATATATGCATTATCTAGGCTAGAGTATTGTAATTTTAGGTTTAAATATCTTTTTGGTTTATTTAGTTTCATGAACTTCACTTTTTAGTCACTATAATTAAAAACATTCCATTTGAGTTCCTATGCATACTGTTTTTATTTCCTTTTATTCTCTATGAATTTTACTTTTTGAGTCCCTATAGCAACATATGACAAGGATTAAAAGAAAACAAAAAATGGTATGCATAGAGACTAAAATAGAACATTTCTAAGATAAAATTTATGAAACTATAGGGACTTAACATGTATTTAAACATTAATTTTATTTTCTTTGTTGACATGGAGACTTGTAATTTTATTTATTATTTTATTTTATATGTACCTGTTACTTAACTTCAAATTTCAAGAGTCACATTTAAAATGGCCTCAACATTCTTCTGAAAATTCTTTCATCTCCATCATCAAAGATTAGATTTCTATTCTTAAATCATCTTTATGAATACAAGTTAAATTTATTTTTATTTGTAGTTTATCTTCTATCACTAAGATGTTTTATAAATGCCAAATTAATAAACATAGCCAGCGATTCAAGGACAAATTTGATATAGGAAAAAATAATCTAGTCATAGTAAGCAAAGTAAACAAGCTAAACTCGTGTTGTAAATTTGGCTCAGTTAAATAGGTGGACTAAGCTTCAACAATTTGTTTTTCCTACAAGTTATGCCAGGAATTCAAATATTGAGCTGGCGCATCTCACATGAATCTCTAGTAAAAAACATTGAAAAAAACTCGATCTTTCCCTCCTTACCTTGTCATTTCTTAGTCACACTGTTTTTGGGCCACTGCTACGACCATTATGCTTGGTATTTGATGATAAACCCGTCTTTATTAAAATTTTACTAACTTACCATCTTGTTACCATCAATTCTAACCAATTCTTTCATTCTTCTTTTCATATTACATTAATTTTCAAGTTTTGTATTGCCAAATCTTCAGTCACACTGTTTACTTTACTGAAAATAGTTTTAGAAGTTCTCTGGGGTGGGTTTTTGGGGGAGGGGGGGGGGGGGGCGGGGTCACACTGTTTACTTTACTGAAAATAGTTTTAGAAGTTCTCTGGGGTGGGTTTTTGGGGGAGGGGGGGGGGGGAATAGGTTTAGGAAAATCTGAGTAATGTTTGTTCTTTTTGTGAATAAGTTTTTGGCTCATAAAGGGATAGTCAAATTCATTCCAGAAAATTATATAAACTTCTGAAAGTGCCTAGTTAACCATATAAACCTTTAGATGCAAACTAAACTAATTAACTAAGATAAAGTCACTCAATGATGCCAAAATTTTGTTTGAAATGATCTGTTGCCTGGTGTAGCATTGAATTATGTTACATATGGTTAGTTTTCATGGTTCTCATACAAGAGCTACGTTATTTTTTGTCAACTATATTTGCATTTGTTGAGTGTTGATTTTTATTCCACAGCATTTTGTTTTGTAGTCTAGACTCAGAACACGCATGCTATGTGCTTTGCATTATAAAAGCTTGTTTTTGCACATTTACTCAATGATTTATATATATAATCGAGATGTCATGTGTCGCAACTGGACATTTCCCGAAAATGTGCAAGTGACGCATTAATGGGAGTGACGGTTATGTAATGATGGTTTGCCTTTGTCATAATGGTTCTCAATTAATGTCATCAGATGTGCCCCTTGACTGACACGTGTCATGACCGTTTTGAATTTGGGAGGAACCCTTTTCTTTCACTCGCGCCTCTTCCCTTTTCACTTTACTCATTTTTCGCTCTTTCAACTTCTTGCGCACGCCGCTTCTCTCGCTTCTGTTTGTCTTCTCTATTTCCGTCGCCATTCCCGGCAACTAGGTTCTACTCCTTCCTTATTGCTTCTTTCTTTTGTCAAAGGGGTACCAGGTACTTCGATTTCTCTGTTCTCTCTCCTTTCTCCAATCTTCTCCTTCTTTGAGTCTTTCTTGTTTTCTCTATGGCTGGAGAGAGTGGTGCTGGATCCTCCGCGCCTGCCAAGGGCAAAGCTAAGGCGCGGGGCAAGGCGGTGGCTACCGGAACGGCCGCCACCGAGAAAAAGAAGCTGGGGGA